CTAGCTCCATTCCGTCTAATATGCTTCTGTAATTGTCATTTGTTTCCTCAATATTTAGTCTTATGGCACTCCCATCTATTGACTTATTTAAGTTACTGTTAAATAGTGACGATGGTTTATAGTTGACTGTGTAGACTTTTGAGATCAGTGGAAATTAGCCATTGATTTCTTCCGGTGGAACAACCGTATAATTAAGAGCCTATGCGGCATTGGCTTCTTTTGTTTGAATCTTTAGAACTTTTGCCTTGTCTTGTTCCTTATTTGGCTTTTGTTAATGGATGTTGCAATTATCTGGAATTCTCTGGTCGCGGTCTTTCATATAAGAACACAGAACTAGGATCAAGAATTTGCTAAGACTTGTATATCGCGCTTGAAGGGGACAACTTTTGTTATTTGTTTGATATGTGATCATTTTAAGTCTAACATCACCTTCTACTCACAATTTGTTCGAACAATGTGCTTTCATTGTTCATGCCATTTTGGATATTTTCATTATCTTGCTGCTTTCCTCCTCAATAATTGTTGCAATTATAGTTTAGTTCTATGGAAGGAATTTGTAAACTTGGCATTATATCCCTTGAATATCACATCAGGGCATTGTGTATGTATCATTCAGATGATCTAATATTGCGTTTATTTTCGTTTTGTTTAATTCAAAACGAAATTAAAAAAAAGAACCTGTTGGAACGTGGAACCGACCCTGGAACCTGTGACAGGGTAGGTTCCAGGTTCCACGTTCCACGTTCCGACGGGTAGGTTCCAGGTTCCAGGCGGAACCTACCCGGAACCTGGAACCGCTCACCCCTAGTTTAAAACATGACAATTTGGTGCCACTCGAAGCATTCATTAAGCAAAAGGCGAGGGTAACCAACAAAGCAGGGGGAGATTAACTCACAATGAACATCAAAATGGGCTTAAAGTCCTTCTATTTCAGAATCAATTGATCTCCTCCCTCTTTTTGCATATAATGGATTGCTATATGAGTAGCTAATCTTCAGTGTCTTCACGCCTATAACTTGGTCCATTTGCTTCACCATGGAGTAACAGCATCTAAGAGAAATAAAGGGACCGAGCAACGGAAAACAAGAGGATGCTTAATTATCACGAAGCAAACTTGTCCTCTTCAAGCAGGACAGAAACGATATGCCATTGCATACGAGATTACAAAGCACTATGTTGCAATCGCAACGGTGAGAATATCTAACAAAATCATATCATTCCTGAACAGAAACTGGTCATCGGAGAATGATGAGTCTCTACGTGAAATTAATGCCTCGTGTTGGAATTTGACAGCTTTTGTAGTTTCGTACGAAGGCTCTGCCTCGTGAAAGAGAGGCTTTTTTTTGGGTTTTCAGAAGTTTCATGAAACATGGTTCCTTTAACAGATCTGTATCTTTTACTTGGCCTTAGGATATGTCCTACTAGGAGATGGAATCTCAGCTGCGGCTTCTTGACAACTTCTTGACCTTATTCATAACTAACTCAGGAATCATCCAACCAGAAATCTCATTCTTTAGTCATGAAAACTGTACTTTAGTTTCGAGTCTTTCTTGTACTTGGTTTCCTCTTTTTGATATTTGCTGTCAGACAAAGGTAGACAGTCACTATGCAAAGCATCAAGCTTGGACCGTACAAACTGAGGGTCTATCACCATATAACGAAATAACATTATTTGCTCTTCTAATTTGTATAAATAGCTTATGACCATACGTTTTCACACGCTCGACAGGACCGGTTAATTTGTGCTCATCCAGCTAAAATCTTCATTAATTCACTCAAGGTCGTATGTCGACACTTTACAGGCTAGACAGCATGATTGGCAACAAGACACTCCTCAAAGTAGCAAGGAAATGGCAAAAGATCGCCGATATTGATGGAAAAGGAATTGCTCACACATTTCTTGAACTCGATTAGCTAACTTTTTTTCAAGTTTCTCAGGTCTGCCACCTACATAAACAACTACTCCCATGCCCTCCACAGAACACAGTCTTGACTCTAATCCGCAAAAGTATCCCTTTACGGACCACATTCAATCCTCCTTTCCACACTTCACACGATAACATGATCAGCACTAGACCTGTCAAAATGGGTCATAAACTCATTTCTTAACCCATATATTAGTAAATGGGTCATAAATGGGTTAGTTATATTTAGTAAATAGGTCATAACTTGGTAGAAGTCTAATATTAGTATTAAATTGATCATAAATGGGTCGTAAATGGGTCATAAATGAGTTTACAACTGATTTAAACTCAACTCATCTCTCACCCTCACTCAATCTTGCGCTCACTCACTCTGTACTCTCATCTCAGTTTGGGTATGAATTTTCCTAGATTTAATTAAATATGGAAGTGTTTTAGCAATATGGGTCTGATCGGGTATGTGTTGGGTATGGGTCAGGTTGGGTATGGGTCAAGAAAATTACATTACGCATAAATGGGTCATAAATGAGTTAATGGGTCAATTTGGATCGGACCATTTATGACCCGACCCAAACCCGACCCGACCCACCCATTTGACAGGTCTAATCAGCACCAAGAAACTCCTCAAAGTAGCTAGGAAGTGGCAAAAGATCGCTGTCATTAGAAGAAAAAGAATCCTATAAGAACAAGAAGACCTTCAAAAGGCATGTAGAATGCTGGAAGCGAGTAAAAAGGTTTACTTTATAATCTATATCACCGACAGGGGATGCTTTGCCATCCCCTTGGCTTTTCTAAACACTTGAATTTTTCAAGAGTGGTTCAAACTGCCAGAAGAAGAGTATGGATTATCAAGTGATGAACCCATCATCGCATTGCCATTTGATGCAGCAATTATGGAGTATACAGTCTCACTCACACGAAGAGGTCTAACTGAAGATTCACAAAGAGTTTTGCTTAACGTGTTTTCTTCTCGCCGCTGCTCATGGTATGATTCTATGATCAAGGCGGTATAGGTCAACAATCATTTCTTTGTTAGTACATTGACCAGATGTATCAATTCTTTAAATGATTTTGTAATGAAGTTTATTTGAAGTCCTTATCACTTCCCGTTCAACTTCCATAGCTTGCCTGATTGGTAGAGGATGATTCTTAGAAAGATGATCCACACAACGTGTGAATTAAATCTCGGTGGAATGATTCTAATTTCAAAAATGATTATTGTACACTGGAGAGGCCAATCCGGAGCGAGACGGCTTTAACTACATCTAAAGGCCAAAGAATTTGAATTTCTTCACGTACAAGTAAAAACCAAAAAGATTCAACAATGCTAGCCATCCAATGTATTTTGCCTTAAAATAGCAAGCATGATCGGAAGCGTTCTGTATTTCCGCTAGGTGGTCAAGTCGTAGGCTCTCTAGTCACTAGATTTCACACAAAAAGTCTAACAGTTTCGATACTAGATTTCACCACAAAAGTTTGATGGACTCTTTGTTCTCCTTTAATACTCTTGGGTTCATGACCTTAATTACAATTTCAGAGTTTTAACCTCTGGAATCCTAGTATGTCACCCAGGAGTTCGGATAGTTGATATATGAAACAGAGATGAAGGGGGAAATGTTATCATAAAATTATTAGTATGGCCTGCAATGTCCTTATACATTACCCTGGAAGCTGGAGATACCATTGTAAATCAACTGGTGCACATATCGTACCTTAAGATGAAAATTCCATGAATCCGACAATTGAAATTTCTTAGATGTTGGACGGTTACATGCAATTGACAAGTTGCCATCACGAACTTCTTTAAACCTTTCTTTTATTGTCTCGATCAACCTTCCCCCAATCCCGGATGACAAAATTGAGGTTTCCAGTTTAATTAATTTTGCTATCACCGAAGAATATTCTTTGAGGGAAGAGCGTACTGTTTTTTATTGCTCGACTGAGGTTTTAGACTATGCAAAGGACATGGTCGATTCCAAATAGAAAACATTGGACCCTTGCATCATTTGGCTCCTTTAGATGCATCTGACAAAAGCCTTCCACACCTTTCAGTCAACCAAAAGACTTGTTTTCCCAAGGGAAACGAAAGCCAAATGCAGACTGTAGATCAGACAATATTTGCTTTTTAACATGAATTCCAAGTGCTTACTGCACGAATCTCCTAAGGGTGCAAATACGTATTGCGTAGGAGTACCTTCTGCTGGAAAAACAGCTAGTCCTCTACGCATAGCGGCGATCAAGGTTCTATGAGTTCAGTGGTTTTGATTGTCTGATTGCTTCCCTAATGACTAGGTAAACATTAAACAAGTTTGCTCGATCAGTTAGAAACCACCTGGTGGTCCTCATCCAACTGGACAGAGCGATGTCCTTTTGCCTCTACTTTTCGAAGTTTAGTGGCCAAGCAGAATAGATAAAGCCTACAGAATACTCCAAGCTCGACTTTATGTTTTACGAAAAAAAATCTTAGACCGAGCGCCGGAACTGGAAATCCTAGAAAGCTGTTAGCTCACCGAGCAAAAACGAGTGTTTATATACAATAAAGTATGAACAAAAGAACGAGTGCTTCTTGAGACGAGAGAGACGGAACAAATAAATCGCACCTCCAGATGACAGTGCTTATACAATAAAGTATGAACAAAGAACAAAAGGGGCAAGAATCTTCAACAACAACCGGTCAAAACCATGGAATGTATGAACAGCTGATGTGTGTCGCCTACACAATCAAAACCATTAATTACCAAAAGCTTCTCCGGAATGAATCCAAATCATTAGCACCGATCACATCTCCAGGATCAGACCCTGCACGTACACAAAAGATGAGATCAAATGAAAATCCCGTGCTACCGTCGAGGTGACGTGTCCCGCTCTTACTGTGCACCGCAGCCACACCAGAAAAAACCCAACCCCCTCAAACGCCACTGTAAGCGAAAGCGACCCCAAAAAAAAAAAAAAAAAACCACCGTAGCACCACCGTCATCAACCCCTCCCCCTCACCTCCGCCGCGCACACCCCCAACATCATCGCGCAATTCAATTTGAATAGGGCGTCTGATCAAAAAGAAGAGGAAGAATTGTTCCCTTACGCTTGATATTCGACACCGATCGAATCCGCGAACGGCTTAGCGATCGATTTAAACGCTCTCTCGGACAGGACCAATGCGCCGCCCTCCTCGCCGGCCTGCTTGGACGCCGACGCCGCCGCTGCGGATTTCGACGAGCGTGCCCAGTCGATGATCTTGACCCTGATCGGATCATCGTCCGTGCAGTTTCCAGGGATGGACCGCGACAAGCTGACGCAGCGCACCGTATATTCCCGACCACAGGCGGCGCCGTTATCCCAGAGCTCGTCGCCCGCCGCCGCGAACATGCCGTTCGAAGGAAGCTGGGATGGATCGTCTCCGTTGCACACCGTCGCTAAATCAAACAGCAAGAAGAACGTGACATAGGAAGCTATTCTTTTCTTCTTCTTCTTCTTTTTTTAATCCTTTTTTCTTTGGGTCAAAGACTTACGTAGATACGGAGAGCTGTAGTACGACGCTGTGCCGGCGTGAACGCCGGCGCCGGCGGCGGTGGCCGTGGCCACGGAGGCGAGAAGGATGAGCAGCTGCAGATGGCACATCCTTTTTAACGTCTTCCTTCTCATTTTTTTTTTTTTTTTGTGGGTGGTTAATGAGAAGCCTTCCTCTTGAAGTTTTCGAATAGAGAAGAACAGTTTCTTGCCCGATCTTTTATAGCAGAACTGGGCAGAACTGGGTGAGGAGGGGGCCGAGAAGAGAAGAGGACGTACCATGGGGAAGCAGGGAAGAGAAGCCCCAATATACCTCCACGTCCGGGGAGGTGGGGCGCGTCCGTAGAAGGAACGGTGGCCACTAGGATAAATTCATTTTAATTATTAGCTTAGGCGTCCGCAGAACTCATACTTAAATCATTTTCTATGAGAGCTGCTGTTGTTTTTTTTTGTTAAGGAGAGCTGCTGTTGTTGTTGCCGTCTCGAAGCAATAAAAAAATTCCGGTGCAATCTCCGTATCATCTGCGATCAGGTGAAAGATTGTGAATAGGCACTTCGCTTTTAGATGCAGTGAAAGCAACCCAGCAAAAATAAATAAAGAAAAAAAAAAAACATGTTCACCTTCAAGCATGATTTACTCGATCGAGGTTATGTTTGTGGAATAGTTCATCCAATGCCCCATTCGTCATGCCCTGATATGAACGCGCATGAGATTGGCACAAAAACCTATCAAAGCAATAGCAGAAGAAATCGATATCGGGTGCAATTTCTGTAGAGTATGCAATCAAAACTCCCCAGGCCTTTCGGTTTTGCACCGGCTTAGAATCCAAATGCTGCAATGAACTCGAGTTATTTTTCAGATACACAGGCAGGCAAGCACTAAAATCTCTGCAAAAGAACCTAGCTCAGGATTACAACTTTCATCTTAGACATGGTCCAATGACAAACAGCTCTCTCCCCTCAGTTTCATGATTTTCAGATGATAAAGAAACAATTGAGCAAAACGTGTTCCGTGAAAGACCTCAGTGGCTCACCTGCATGTAGGTTAACTGATCATAACTCGAGGCCTTCTTTCTAACTTGTGGATCAGACCCATCCTACGGAAACAATCTTTGTGGTCAAACACAAATATCTCGGAACAAAAACGTTAAAGAAGGAGAGGGGGGCCGGGGGGAAAGCTAGCACTGCAATAAAGGATTGCTAGATTTGTTTTGCTAGAACAGGAACTGAGGGTATACTACCTGGGATACATAAAGTGGGTACTTTGAAGCAACAGCATTCTGATAACTGGAAAATGAAAAGAATCCAATAATAGGAGAACTGATCTGTACAGAGTGCCTTAAGCTCTCATAAACAAAAAAGACTCTACAGAACAGATTTGCCATATTTCAAGATAGACTTAATGGTCCTCTCAAGATAATCAGCGCGGTTGCATGCCACGATCACCACTGCTGCCACTTGGGTCTGATATATCCAACAAAAAGATATCAGCAAGACTGACAAAATTGAATTTGTAAATTAGTGAAGATAAGTAACATGTTATTGTCAAGAGAAGACTTGTATTTTGTCCGTACATCTTTGAAGGCCTTTGACTGCAAGATTAGCAAAACAGAAACTTTAGCAGCGCTTAAGACATTCCACCAGCAAAATAGATCAAGGCACATTCAAAAACAAATAAATTGCAGATTGGGGAGGATGAATCAGGATTCTTCCAACATCAAAGAGAGGTTAAGTAGTAGAACTTCACAGCACAAGAATGATAATTAATCTCCTTCAGTTTTAGTCGCTCAGTAAGATTTTGAATTTCTACAAGTAAAGCACTGCATCACAACAATTGCTATCAAACTCCAAATTGGCAGAATCCAGAAAATGCGGAATGCGATTTTCCTGACGCAGCCAGACAAATACTAAAAGATTTATATGCTGCAAGCTTGCATACAATCCATATAGTTCCGGTCCTCTACAGAAACAACATGAGGGAAACACATGCTTACAAGCAAATTATCACACCTTCTAGCTCCACAATACGGCTTTCTTGCATGCTTATCTGATCAATTAGTTTTCGCATTTGACTTGTACAACGAGTCTCGGCTTCAACCTGTAAAATGAAAGACGTATCTAAGAAATATATGATGATTTCTAGTGCATGTAGGTCAGGAGAGGGGGGACGCACACGTTAGATTTCTGGTGTCTGCCGCTCCCTCCCTCTCTCTCATAAATTATAGCATGCTACTCCTTCGAAAAGGACAGAAGCATAGGAAGCACGTATACATGACAAGACCATCCAAAGACCAAACCAACCAAAAAATGAAACAGGCCCACCATTGGAACTTTTTAACTCAATCGTTAAACACAATAAATGAGAATTGCTAGCATCATTTAAGTGTTAATCCTCTCAGAAGCTACTCCTCCCAAAGGACAGCAGCACAATAAGACCATCCCAACCAATTAATGTAATGGGTCCACCAGTACTACTTCTTGACTAACCATAGAAACACGATACATGAGAATTACTACCATCATTTAATGGGGTTTCCTATTCTCACTCGAACGGATTGACTCTTCCCAAATCGATATTTCAAGCAAGATTGTAAATTTACTAGAGGTTGGATGAAAGACAGATTCAGCACTAAGCATTGTCAAATAGATGCTCAATATGACAAATTCAGAATGGTTCCTCCCACACGGTAAGGAAAAGGTTCCACCACACACTCTCAATATTTCTTTTTCATATTCAATAGGCTGACAGAGTTGCAGATCTGAAGTTACCTAAGCTTATAATTACTTAACTTGAGAGTCTAGATGCTGGCTGCACATGAGAAGTTCACTAAGTACATTTCTTAAAAATTGAATGTGTATCCTTTTGGAAACAAAGCTAGAGGTTCAAATGGCCATCAATCCAGAATGAGAGACCGGCATGAGGTATTAGGATGGACTTACAGCAGCAGCAAGTCGATCGGCATATTCCGATTGTGTTGTGAAAAGACGCATCTGTAACTCAAATGCACGTCGATCGGTAACTCAAAAACCGCAAAAATTTCCAGATCGCGAGGGGAATCGGGGACCAAGAAATCACCTGGATGTAGATGAACGCCACCGCCGCGGCGAGGAGGAGGAACCGGAAGTCGTAGAGGAACTTGTTCACCATCGTCCCTCCGGAGCGGCGGGGGGGAGGGGATTCGCCGCAGCGAGCCGTGAAGATCACGCGGCGGCGAGGGCGTCGCGCGGGCACGGAACATGGCCGACCGGAAAACGCAACGGATCAGGTCCAGCTAGCGAGAGGAGGTCGAGGATTCCGAGAAGGCTTTAATGGCGCTTTGTTCTTTCGTCTTGTGCTTTGATGATGATCCGTGGAAGCGACGGCGACCACGACGGCGACCGCGACGAGGAGCGGCGAGTCAAATAAAAGCCGAGCCGAGCCGAGCCGAGCCGAGAGACTGGTTTTTTGGAGCAAGGCCGGCCGGAGGGGTGTTTGGATACGAGGGCTTTGCTATTCTTCATCGGCGTAGCCCGTATTCCGAGCTCTCGAGTCCGATCCGAGATTTTCTGGGGTGAGCATTTCTCAAGGGTCAACGCGGCCCAATAAGCCCGACCACTTCTTTAGTCGCGAGAAACAAATTGCGTGTGATTTTCTTGATTCGTTGCCGTGGCCCTGGGGCTCACAAGATTGACTATGCTTTCGGTGGGAAATGAATATTTTCATTTCTAATTCGGTAAGAAAGATTATGCTTGTTCATTCATTTTGGTCCGCTATCAAATAAATCTATGCCTTTTCAATATCTCTGAATTCCACAGCCTCTGACTCTTGCTCTGCCTCTTGTAGAGCGCGGGAGTCGAACCTCTCACCTGTGATATTAGCGTCCCTGCCCCTCAATCCCTTTGCCAGTAGGACCGCGTGCTTATTGACGGGATGGAAATAGTTTAAAACACAACAGTTTGGTGCCACTCGATGCATTCATAAAGCAAAAGGCGAGGGTAACCAACAAAGCAATGGGAGATTAACTCACAATGAACATCAAAATTGGCTTAAATCAATCTGAGTTCCTACGGAGTCCTTGTATTTCAGAATCAATTGATCTCCTCCCTCTTTCTGCATATAATGTATTGCTACATGAGGAGCTAATCTTCAGTGTCTTCACGCCTATAACTTGGTCCACTTGCTTCACCGCGGAGTAACAACATCCGAGAGAAAAAGGGACCGAGCAAACAGAAAACAAGGGGATACTTAATTATCATGAAGCAAACTTGTCCTCTTCGAACTGGACAGAAACGATATGCCATTGCATACGAGATAACAAAACACTGTGTTGCAATTGCAACGGTGAGAATATCTAATGGAAATTAAGAATCATCTCATTCCTGAACACAAACTGGTCATTGGAGAATGATGAGTCTCTACGTGAAATTAATGCCTCGTGTTGGAATTTAACAGCCTTTGTAGTTTTGTACGTAGGCTCTGCCTCGGGAAAGAGAGGCTTTTTTTTCGTGTTTTCAGAAGTTTCATGAAACATAGTTCCTTTAACAGATCTGTATCTTTTACATGGCCTTAGGATATGTCCTACTAGGAGAGGGAATCTCAGCTGCAGCTTCTTGGCAACTTCTAGACCTTATTCATAACTAACTTAGGAATCATCCAACCAGAAATCTCATTCTTTAGTCATGAAAACTGTACTTTAGTTTCGAGTCTTTCTTGTACTCGGTTTCCTCTTTCTATTGCCTTTTTTATATTTGCTGTCAGACAAAGGTAGATAGTCCCAATGCAAAGCATCAAGCTTGGACCGTATAACCTAAGGATCGAACATCGGTCATCACCATATAACTTTATAGAAATAGCTTATGACTATACGTTTTCACTCATTCAACAGAACCGGTTAATTTGTGCTCATCCAGCTAAAATCTTCATTAATTCACTCAAGGTCCCCTATGTCGACACTTTACAGGCTAGACAGCATGATTAGCAACAAGACACTCCTCGAAGTAGCAAGGAAATGGCAAAAGATCACCGATATTGATGGAAAAGGAATTGCTCACACATTTCTTGAACTCGATTAGCTAACTTTTTTTCAAGTTTCTCAAGTCTTCCACCTACATAAACAACTACTCCCATGCCCTCCACAGAACACAGTCTTGACTCTAATCCGCAAAAGTATCCCTTTCGGACCACATTCAATCCTCCTTTCCACACTTCACACGTACGGCAACATGATCAGCACCAAGAAACTCCTCAAAGTAGCTAGGAAGTGGCAAGAGACCGCTGTCATTGGAAGAAAAACGAATCCTATAAGAACAAGAAGACCTTGAAAGGCATGTCGAATGCGCTGGAAGCGAGTAAAAAGGTTCACTCTATAATCTATATCACCGACAGGAGATGCTTTGCCATCCCCTTGGCTTTTCTAAACACTTGAATTTTTCAAGAGTGGTTCAAACTGCCAGAAGAAGAGTATGGATTATCAAGTGATGAACCCATCATCGCATTGCCATTTGATGCAGCAATTATGGAGTATACAGTCTCACTCACACGAAGAGGTCTAACTGAAGATTCACAGAGAGTTTTGCTTAACGTGTTTTCTTCTCGCCGCTGCTCATAGTATGATGCTATGATCAAGGCAGTATAGGTCAACAATCATTTCTTTGTTAGTACATTGACCAGATGTATCAATTCTTTAAATGATTTTGTAATGAAGTTTATTTGAAGTCCTTATCACTTCCCGTTCAACTTCCATAGCTTGCCTGATGGGTAGAGGATGATTCTCAGAAAGATGATCCACACAACGTGTGAATTAAATCTCGGTGGAATGATTCTAATTTCAAAAATGATTATTGTACACTGGAGAGGCCAATCAGAGCGAGACAGCTTTAACTACATCTAAAGGCCAAAGAATTTGAATTTCTTCACTGGTACAGTAAAAACCAAAAAAGATTCAACAATGCTAGCCATCCAATGTATTTTGCCTTAAAATAGCAGCATGATCAGGAAGCAGTTCCTGTATTTCCGCTAGGTAGTCCAGTCATAGGCTCTCTAGTCACTAGATTTCACACAAAAAGTCTAACAGTTTCGATACTAGATTTCACCACAAAAGTTTGATGGACTCTTTGTTCTCCTTTAATACTCTTGGGTTCATGACCTTAATTACAATTTCAGAGTTTTAACCTCTGGAATCCTAGTATGTCACCCAGGAGTTCGGATAGTTGATATATGAAACAGAGATGAAGGGGGAAATGTTATCATAAAATTATTAGTATGGCCTGCAATGTCCTTATACATGGTCTTGGAAGCTGGAGATACCATTGTAAATCAACTGGTGCGTATATTCGTACCTTAAGATGAAAATTCCATGAATCCGACAATTGAAATTTCTTAGATGTTGGACGGTTACATGCAATTGATAAGTTGCTATCACGAACTTCTTTAAACCATTCTTTTATTGTCTCGAGCAACCTTCCCCCAATCCTGTTCGACAAAATTGAGGTTTTCAGTTTAATTAATTTTGCTATCACCGAAGAATATTCTTTGAGGGATGAGCGTACGTTTTTTTATTGCTCTACTGAGGTTTTGGACTATGCAAAGGACACGGTCGATTCCAAATAGAAAACATTGGACCCTTACATCATTTGGCTCCTTTAGATGCGTCTGACAAAAGCCTTCCACACCTTTCAGTCACCCAAAAGACTTGTTTTCCCAGGAAAACGAAAGCCAAATGCGGATTGTAGATCACACAATATTTGCTTTTTAACATGAATTACGAGTGCTTACCGCACGAATCTCCTAAGGGTGCAAATACGTATTGCGTAGGAGTACCTTCCGCTGGAAAAACAGCTAGTCCTCTACGCATAGCGGCGATCAAGGTTCTGTGAGTTCAGTGGTTTTGATTGTCTGATTGCTTCCCTAATGACTAGGTAAACATTAAACAAGTTTGCTCGATTAGTTAGAAACCACCTGGTGGTCCTCATCCAACTGGACAGAGCGATGTCCTTTTGCCTCTACTTTTCGAAGTTTAGGGCGCGCATGGAATCCATTCCTGGAGCAGAATTGCGCTCCAGAATGCATTCCGAAGCAATGCGTTTGTTAAAATAATTTTGAAATGCATTCTGGAGCAATTTTTGCATTCTGGAATAAAAACGCTTTTGGTAAAACTTCATTCTTTTTTTTTGCTCTAGAATGAATTTTTGCTTCCATAATGAGTTTTGGCCCAAAAAGAGAAGCTACTTTTTATAGCTTCTCTCTTCCAGAATGCATTCTAACCCAAATTTCCTTTTTTACAAGAAATAAAAAATGAAAAAAATGAAAAAATCAAAAATTTCAAAATTTCACAAAATGGCTTAGAATACCTGTGGCCATCCACTTTGAGTGAAATTTAAATTTTTTGAGGTGCCAAAAAAAATCAAAAAATCAAAAATTTCAAAATTTCACAGAATGGCTTAGAATACCTGTGGTCACCCACTTTCAGTGAAATTTAAATTTTTTTAGGTGCCCAAAAAAATAAAAATAAAAATAAAAAACTTCAAAATTTTATAAAATGGTTTTGAATATCTGTGGCCACTCACTTTGAGTAAAATTTAAATTTTTTGAGGTGCCAAAAAAAATCAAAAAATATAAAATAAAAAATTTTACAGAATGGCTTAGAATACCTGTGGCCACCCACTTTAAGTGAAATTTAAATTTTTTTAGGTGCAAAAAAAAAGAAAAATAAAAAAAAAATAAAAAATTTCAAAACTTCACAAAATGGCTTAAAATACCTGTGGCCACCCACTTTGAGTGAAATTTAAATTTTTTGAGGTGCCCAAAAAAATAAAAAATTTCAAAACTTCACAAAATGGCTTAAAATACCTGTGGCCACCTACTTTGAGTGAAATTTAAATTTTTTGAGGTGCCCAAAAAAATAAAAAATTTCAAAACTTCACAGAATGGCTTAGAATATCTGTGGCCACCCACTTTGAGTAAAATTTAAATTTTTTTAGGTGCCCAAAAAAATTAAAAAAAATAAATAAAATAAATAAAATAAAAAAATTCAAAACTTCACAAAATGGCTTAGAATACCTGTGGCCACCCACTTTGAGTGAAATTTAAAATTTTTTAGGTGCAAAAAAAAAATTAAAAAAAATCAAAAATTTCAAAACTTTACAGAATGGCTTATAATACATGTGACCACCCACTTTGAGTAAAATTTAATTTTTTTTAGGTGCAAAAAAAATCAACAAATCAAAATAGATTTCTATTCCAGAAATCAATTTCTGGAGCAGAATTAGTCATGTTTTACCAAACAGATTTCTCTCCATAAATCAATTTCTGGTAAGAATTCCAGAAATCAATTTCTGGTAAGAATTTGATTTCTGGAGCAGAATGGTTACCATTCGCACCCTTAGTGGCCAAGCAGAATAGATAAAGCCTACAGAATACTCCAAGCTCGACTTTATGTTTTACAAAAAAATCTTAGACCGAGCGTCGGAACTGGAAATCCTAGAAAGCTGTTAGCTCACCGAGCAAAAACGAGTGTTTATATACAATAAAGTATGAACAAAAGAACGAGTGCTTCTTGAGACGAGAGAGACGGAACCAATAAATCGCACCTCCAGATGGCAGTGCTTATACAATAAAGTATGAACAAAGAACAAAAGGGGCAAGAATCTTCAACAACAACCGGTCAAAACCATGGAATGTATGAACAGCTGATGTGTGTCGCCTACACAATCAAAACCATTAATTACCAAAAGCTTCTCCGGAATGAATCCAAATCATTAGCACCGATCACATCTCCAGGATCAGACCCTGCACGTACACAAAAGATGAGATCAAATGAAAATCCCCGTGTTACCGTCGAGGTGACGTGTCCCGCTCTTACTGTGCACCGCAGCCACACCAGAAAAAACCCAACCCCCTCAAACGCCACTGTAAGCGAAAGCGACCCCAAAAAAAAAACAAAAACCACCGTAGCACCACCGTCATCAACCCCTCCCCCTCACCTCCGCCGCGCACACCCCCAACATCATCGCGCAATTCAATTTGAATAGGGCGTCTGATCAAAAAGAAGAGGAAGAATTGTTCCCTTACGCTTGATATTCGACACCGATCGAATCCGCGAACGGCTTAGCGATCGATTTAAACGCTCTCTCGGACAGGACCAATGCGGCGCCGCCCTCCTCGCCGGCCTGCTTGGACGCCGACGCCGCCGCTGCGGATTTCGACGAGCGTGCCCAGTCGATGATCTTGACCCTGATCGGATCATCGTCCGTGCAGTTTCCAGGGATAGACCGCGACAAGCTGACGCAGCGCACCGTATATTCCCGACCACAGGCGGCGCCGTTGTCCCATAGCTCGTCGCCCGCCGCCGCGAACATGCCGTTCGAAGGAAGCTGGGATGGATCATCTCCGTTGCACACCGTCGCTAAATCAAACAGCAAGAAGAACGTGACATAGGAAGCTATTCTTTTCTTCTTCTTCTTTTTTTAATCCTTTTTTCTTTGGGTCAAAGACTTACGTAGATACGGAGAGCCGTAGTACGACGCTGTGCCGGCGTGAACGCCGGCGCCGGCGGCGGTGGCCGTGGCCACGGAGGCGAGAAGGATGAGCAGCTGCAGATGGCACATCCTTTTTAACGTCTTCCTTCTCATTTTTTTTTTTTTTTGTGGGTGGTTAATGAGAAGCCTTCCTCTTGAAGTTTTCGAATAGAGAAGAACAGTTTCTTGCCCGATCTTTTATAGCAGAACTGGGTGAGGAGGGGGCCGAGAAGAGAAGAGGGCGTACCATGGGGAAGCAGGGAAGAGAAGCCCCAATATACCTCCACGTCCGGGGAGGTGGGGCGCGTCCGTAGAAGGAACGGTGGCCACTAGGATAAATTCATTTTAATTATTAGCTTAGGCGTCCGCAGAACTCATACTTAAATCATTTTCTATGAGAACTGCTGTTGTTGTTGCCGTCTCGAAGCAATAAAAAAATTCCGGTGCAATCTCCGTATCATCTGCGATCAGGTGAAAGATTGTGAATAGGCACTTCGCTTTTAGATGCAGTGAAAGCAACCCAGCAAAAATAAATAAAGAAAAAAAAAAAAACATGTTCACCTTCAAGCATGATTTACTCGATCGAGGTTATGTTTGTGGAATAGTTCATCCAATGCCCCATTCGTCATGCCCTGATATGAACGCGCATGAGATTGGCACAAAAACCTATCAAAGCAATAGCAGAAGAAATCGATATCGGGTGCAATTTCTGTAGAGTATGCAATCAAAACTCCCCAGGCCTTTCGGTTTTGCACCGGCTTAGAATCCAAATGCTGCAATGAACTCGAGTTATTTTTCAGATACACAGGCAGGCAAGCACTAAAATCTCTGCAAAAGAACCTAGCTCAGGATTACAACTTTCATCTTAGACATGGTCCAATGACAAACAGCTCTCTCCCCTCAGTTTCATGATTTTCAGATGATAAAGAAACAATTGAGCAAAACGTGTTCCGTGAAAGACCTCAGTGGCTCACCTGCATGTAGGTTAACTGATCATAACTCGAGGCCTTCTTTCTAACTTGTGGATCAGACCCATCCTACGGAAACAATCTTTGTGGTCAAACACAAATATCTCGGAACAAAAACGTTAAAGGAGGAGGAGAGGGGCCGGGGGGAAAGCTAGCACTGCAATAAAGGATTGCTAGATTTGTTTTGCTAGAACAGGAACTGAGGGTATACTACCTGGGATACATAAAGTGGGTACTTTGAAGCAACAGCATTCTGATAACTGGAAAATGAAAAGAATCCAATAATAGGAGAACTGATCTGTACAGAGTGCCTTAAGCTCTCATAAACAAAAAAGACTCTACAGAACAGATTTGCCATATTTCAAGATAGACTTAATGGTCCTCTCAAGATAATCAGCGCGGTTGCATGCCACGATCACCACTGCTGCCACTTGGGTCTGATATATCCAACAAAAAGATATCAGCAAGACTGTCAAAATTGAATTTGTAAATTAGTGAAGATAAGTAACATGTTATTGTCAAGAGAAGACTTGTATTTTGTCCGTACATCTTTGAAGGCCTTTGACTGCAAGATTAGCAAAACAGAAACTTTAGCAGCGCTTAAGACATTCCACCAGCAAAATAGATCAAGGCACATTCAAAAACAAATAAATTGCAGATTGGGGAGGATGAATCAGGATTCTTCCAACATCAAAGAGAGGTTAAGTAGTAGAACTTCACAGCACAAGAATGATAACTAATCTCCTTCAGTTTTAGTCGCTCAGTAAGATTTTGAATTTCTACAAGTAAAGCACTGCATCACAACAATTGCTATCAAACTCCAAATTGGCAGAATCCAGAAAATGCGGAATGCGATTTTCCTGACGCAGCCAGACAAATACTAAAAGATTTATATGCTGCAAGCTTGCATACAATCCATATAGTTCCGGTCCTCTACAGAAACAACATGAGGGAAACACATGCTTACAAGCAAATTATCACACCTTCTAGCTCCACAATACGGCTTTCTTGCATGCTTATCTGATCAATTAGTTTTCGCATTTGACTTGTACAACGAGTCTCGGCTTCAACCTGTAAAATGAAAGACGTATCTAAGAAATATATGATGATTTCTAGTGCATGTAGGTCAGGAGAGGGGGGACGCACACGTTAGATTTCTGGTGTCTGCCGCTCCCTCCCTCTCTCTCATAAATTATAGCATGCTACTCCTTCGAAAAGGACAGAAGCATAGGAAGCACGTATACATGACAAGACCATCCAAAGACCAAACCAACCAAAAAATGAAACAGGCCCACCATTGGAACTTTTTAACTCAATCGTTAAACACAATAAATGAGAATTGCTAGCATCATTTAAGTGTTAATCCTCTCAGAAGCTACTCCTCCCAAAGGACAGCAGCACAATAAGACCATCCCAACCAATTAATGTAATGGGTCCACCAGTACTACTTCTTGACTAACCATAGAAACACGATACATGAGAATTACTACCATCATTTAATGGGGTTTCCTATTCTCACTCGAACGGATTGACTCTTCCCAAATCGATATTTCAAGCAAGATTGTAAATTTACTAGAGGTTGGATGAAAGACAGATTCAGCACTAAGCATTGTCAAATAGATGCTCAATATGACAAATTCAGAATGGTTCCTCCCACACGGTAAGGAAAAGGTTCCACCACACACTCTCAATATTTCTTTTTCATATTCAATAGGCTGACAGAGTTGCAGATCTGAAGTTACCTAAGCTTATAATTACTTAACTTGAGAGTCTAGATGCTGGCTGCACATGAGAAGTTCACTAAGTACATTTCTTAAAAATTGAATGTGTATCCTTTTGGAAACAAAGCTAGAGGTTCAAATGGCCATCAATCCAGAATGAGAGACCGGCATGAGGTATTAGGATGGACTTACAGCAGCAGCAAGTCGATCGGCATATTCCGATTGTGTTGTGAAAAGACGCATCTGTAACTCAAATGCACGTCGATCGGTAACTCAAAAACCGCAAAAATTTCCAGATCGCGAGGGGAATCGGGGACCAAGAAATCACCTGGATGTAGATGAACGCCACCGCCGCGGCGAGGAGGAGGAACCGGAAGTCGTAGAGGAACTTGTTCACCATCGTCCCTCCGGAGCGGCGGGGGGGAGGGGATTCGCCGCAGCGAGCCGTGAAGATCACGCGGCGGCGAGGGCGTCGCGCGGGCACGGAACATGGCCGACCGGAAAACGCAACGGATCAGGTCCAGCTAGCGAGAGGAGGTCGAGGATTCCGAGAAGGCTTTAATGGCGCTTTGTTCTTTCGTCTTGTGCTTTGATGATGATCCGTGGAAGCGACGGCGACCACGACGGCGACCGCGACGAGGAGCGGCGAGTCAAATAAAAGCCGAGCCGAGCCGAGCCGAGCCGAGAGACTGGTTTTTTGGAGCAAGGCCGGCCGGAGGGGTGTTTGGATACGAGGGCTTTGCTATTCTTCATCGGCGTAGCCCGTATTCCGAGCTCTCGAGTCCGATCCGAGATTTTCTGGGGTGAGCATTTCTCAAGGGTCAACGCGGCCCAATAAGCCCGACCACTTCTTTAGTCGCGAGAAACAAATTGCGTGTGATTTTCTTGATTCGTTGCCGTGGCCCTGGGGCTCACAAGATTGACTATGCTTTCGGTGGGAAATGAATATTTTCATTTCTAATTCGGTAAGAAAGATTATGCTTGTTCATTCATTTTGGTCCGCTATCAAATAAATCTATGCCTTTTCAATATCTCTGAATTCCACAGCCTCTGACTCTTGCTCTGCCTCTTGTAGAGCGCGGGAGTCGAACCTCTCACCTGTGATATTAGCGTCCCTGCCCCTCAATCCCTTTGCCAGTAGGACCGCGTGCTTATTGACGGGATGGAAATAGTTTAAAACACAACAGTTTGGTGCCACTCGATGCATTCATAAAGCAAAAGGCGAGGGTAACCAACAAAGCAATGGGAGATTAACTCACAATGAACATCAAAATTGGCTTAAATCAATCTGAGTTCCTACGGAGTCCTTGTATTTCAGAATCAATTGATCTCCTCCCTCTTTCTGCATATAATGTATTGCTACATGAGGAGCTAATCTTCAGTGTCTTCACGCCTATAACTTGGTCCACTTGCTTCACCGCGGAGTAACAACATCCGAGAGAAAAAGGGACCGAGCAAACAGAAAACAAGGGGATACTTAATTATCATGAAGCAAACTTGTCCTCTTCGAACTCGGACGAAACGATATGCCATTGCATACGAGATAACAAAACACCGTGTTGCAATTGCAACGGTGAGAATATCTAATGGAAATTAAGAATCATCTCATTCCCGAACACAAAGCGGTCATTGGAGAATGATGAGTCTCTACGTGAAATTAATGCCTCGTGTTGGAATTTAACAGCCTTTGTAGTTTTGTACGTAGGCTCTGCCTCGGGAAAGAGAGGCTTTTTTTTCGTGTTTTCAGAAGTTTCATGAAACATAGTTCCTTTAACAGATCTGTATCTTTTACATGGCCTTAGGATATGTCCTACTAGGAGAGGGAATCTCAGCTGCAGCTTCTTGGCAACTTCTAGACCTTATTCATAACTAACTTAGGAATCATCCAACCAGAAATCTCATTCTTTAGTCATGAAAACTGTACTTTAGTTTCGAGTCTTTCTTGTACTCGGTTTCCTCTTTCTATTGCCTTTTTTATATTTCTCTGTCAGACAAAGGTAGATAGTCCCAATGCAAAGCATCAAGCTTGGACCGTATAACCTAAGGATCGAACATCGGTCATCACCATATAACTTTATAGAAATAGCTTATGACTATACGTTTTCACTCATTCAACAGAACCGGTTAATTTGTGCTCATCCAGCTAAAATCTTCATTAATTCACTCAAGGTCCCCTATGTCGACACTTTACAGGCTAGACAGCATGATTAGCAACAAGACACTCCTCGAAGTAGCAAGGAAATGGCAAAAGATCACCGATATTGATGGAAAAGGAATTGCTCACACATTTCTTGAACTCGATTAGCTAACTTTTTTTCAAGTTTCTCAAGTCTTCCACCTACATAAACAACTACTCCCATGCCCTCCACAGAACACAGTCTTGACTCTAATCCGCAAAAGTATCCCTTTCGGACCACATTCAATCCTCCTTTCCACACTTCACACGTACGGCAACATGATCAGCACCAAGAAACTCCTCAAAGTAGCTAGGAAGTGGCAAGAGACCGCTGTCATTGGAAGAAAAACGAATCCTATAAGAACAAGAAGACCTTGAAAGGCATGTCGAATGCGCTGGAAGCGAGTAAAAAGGTTCACTCTATAATCTATATCACCGACAGGCGATGCTTTGCCATCCCCTTGGCTTTTCTAAACACTTGAATTTTTCAAGAGTGGTTCAAACTGCCAGAAGAAGAGTATGGATTATCAAGTGATGAACCCATCATCGCATTGCCATTTGATGCAGCAATTATGGAGTATACAGTCTCACTCACACGAAGAGGTCTAACTGAAGATTCACAGAGAGTTTTGCTTAACGTGTTTTCTTCTCGCCGCTGCTCATAGTATGATGCTATGATCAAGGCAGTATAGGTCAACAATCATTTCTTTGTTAGTACATTGACCAGATGTATCAATTCTTTAAATGATTTTGTAATGAAGTTTATTTGAAGTCCTTATCACTTCCCGTTCAACTTCCATAGCTTGCCTGATTGGTAGAGGATGATTCTCAGAAAGATGATCCACACAACGTGTGAATTAAATCTCGGTGGAATGATTCTAATTTCAAAAATGATTATTGTACACTGGAGAGGCCAATCAGAGCGAGACAGCTTTAACTACATCTAAAGGCCAAAGAATTTGAATTTCTTCACTGGTACAGTAAAAACCAAAAAAGATTCAACAATGCTAGCCATCCAATGTATTTTGCCTTAAAATAGCAGCATGATCAGGAAGCAGTTCCTGTATTTCCGCTAGGTGGTCCAGTCGTAGGCTCTCTAGTCACTAGATTTCACACAAAAAGTCTAACAGTTTCGATACTAGATTTCACCACAAAAGTTTGATGGACTCTTTGTTCTCCTTTAATACTCTTGGGTTCATGACCTTAATTACAATTTCAGAGTTTTAACCTCTGGAATCCTAGTATGTCACCCAGGAGTTCGGATAGTTGATATATGAAACAGAGATGAAGGGGGAAATGTTATCATAAAATTATTAGTATGGCCTGCAATGTCCTTATACATGACCCTGGAAGCTGGAGATACCATTGTAAATCAACTGGTGCACATATCGTACCTTAAGATGAAAATTCCATGAATCCGACAATTGAAATTTCTTAGATGTTGGACGGTTACATGCAATTGATAAGTTGCCATCACGAACTTCTTTAAACCATTCTTTTATTGTCTCGAGCAACCTTCCCCCAATCCCGTTCGACAAAATTGAGGTTTTCAGTTTAATTAATTTTGCTATCACCGAAGAATATTCTTTGAGGGATGAGCGTACTTTTTTTTATTGCTCTACTGAGGTTTTGGACTATGCAAAGGACACGGTCGATTCCAAATAGTAAACATTGGACCCTTACATCATTTGGCTCCTTTAGATGCATCTGACAAAAGCCTTCCACACCTTTCAGTCACCCAAAAGACTTGTTTTCCCAGGAAAACGAAAGCCAAATGCGGATTGTAGATCACACAATATTTGCTTTTTAACATGAATTACAAGTGCTTACCGCACGAATCTCCTAAGGGTGCAAATACGTATTGCGTAGGAGTACCTTCCGCTGGAAAAACAGCTAGTCCTCTACGCATAGCGGCGATCAAGGTTCTGTGAGTTCAGTGGTTTTGATTGTCTGATTGCTTCCCTAATGACTAGGTAAACATTAAACAAGTTTGCTCGATTAGTTAGAAACCACCTGGTGGTCCTCATCCAACTGGACAGAGCGATGTCCTTTTGCCTCTACTTTTCGAAGTTTAGGGCGCGCATGGAATCCATTCTGGAGCAGAAATTCTGCTCCAGAATGCATTCCGGAACAGAAATGCGTTTGTTAAAATAATTTTGAAATGCATTCTGGAGCAATTTTTGCATTCTGGAATAAAAACGCTTTTGGTAAAACTTCATTCTTTTTTTTTGCTCTAGAATGAATTTTTGCTTCCATAATGAGTTTTGGCTCAAAAAGAGAAGCTACTTTTTATAGCTTCTCTCTTCCAGAATGCATTCTAACCCAAATTTCCTTTTTTACAAGAAATAAAAAATTTCAAAAAATCAAAAAATCAAAAATTTCAAAATTTCACAAAATGGCTTAGAATACCTATGGCCATCCACTTTGAGTGAAATTTAAATTTTTTGAGGTGCCAAAAAAATCAAAAAATCAAAAATTTCAAAATTTCACAGAATGGCTTAGAATACCTGTGGTCACCCACTTTCAGTGAAATTTAAATTTTTTTAGGTGCCCAAAAAAATAAAAAAAAATAAAAAACTTCAAAATTTTATAAAATGGTTTTGAATATATGTGGCCACTCACTTTGAGTAAAATTTAAATTTTTTGAGGTGCCAAAAAAAATCAAAAAATATAAAATAAAAAATTTTACAGAATGGCTTAGAATACCTGTGGCCACCCACTTTAAGTGAAATTTAAATTTTTTTAGGTGCAAAAAAAAAAAGAAAAATAAAAAAAAAAAAAAAAATTTCAAAACTTCACAAAATGGCTTAAAATACCTGTGGCCACCACTTTGAGTGAAATTTAAATTTTTTGAGGTGCCCAAAAAAATAAAAAATTTCAAAACTTCACAGAATGGCTTAGAATATCTGTGGCCACCCACTTTGAGTAAAATTTAAATTTTTTTAGGTGCCAAAAAAAATTAAAAAAATAAAATAAAATAAATAAAATAAAAAAATTCAAAACTTCACAAAATGGCTTAGAATACCTGTGGCCACCCACTTTGAGTGAAATTTAAAATTTTTTAGGTGCAAAAAAAAAATTAAAAAAAATCAAAAATTTCGAAACTTTACAGAATGGCTTATAATACATGTGACCACCCACTTTGAGTAAAATTTAATTTTTTTTAGGTGCAAAAAAAATCAACAAATCAAAATAGATTTCTATTCCAGAAATCAATTTCTGGAGCAGAATTAGTCATGTTTTACCAAACAGATTTCTCCTCCATAAATCAATTTCTGGTAAGAATTCCAGAAATCAATTTCTGGTAAGAATTTGATTTCTGGAGCAGAATGGTTACCATTCGCACCCTTAGTGGCCAAGCAGAATAGATAAAGCCTACAGAATACTCCAAGCTCGACTTTATGTTTTACAAAAAAATCTTAGACCGAGCGTCGGAACTGGAAATCCTAGAAAGCTGTTAGCTCACCGAGCAAAAACGAGTGTTTATATACAATAAAGTATGAACAAAAGAACGAGTGCTTCTTGAGACGAGAGAGACGGAACCAATAAATCGCACCTCCAGATGGCAGTGCTTATACAATAAAGTATGAACAAAGAACAAAAGGGGCAAGAATCTTCAACAACAACCGGTCAAAACCATGGAATGTATGAACAGTTGATGGTGTGTCGCCTACACAATCAAAACCATTAATTACCAAAAGCTTCTCCGGAATGAATCCAAATCATTAGCACCGATCACATCTCCAGGATCAGACCCTGCACGTACACAACAGATGAGATCAAATGAAAATCCCGTGTTACCGTCGAGGTGACGTGTCCCGCTCTTACTGTGTACCGCAGCCACACCAGAAAAAACCCAACCCCCTCAAACGCCACTGTAAGCGAAAGCGACCCCCCAAAAAAAAAAAAGAAACCACCGTAGCACCACCGTCATCAACCCCTCCCCCTCACCTCCGCCCCCCCCACACCCCCAACATCATCGCGCAATTCAATTTGAATAGGGCGTCTGATCAAAAAGAAGAGGAAGAATTGTTCCCTTACGCTTGATATTCGACACCGATCGAATCCGCGAACGGCTTAGCGATCGATTTAAACGCTCTCTCGGACAGGACGAATGCGCCGCCCTCCTCGCCGGCCTGCTTGGACGCCGACGCCGCCGCTGCGGATTTCGACGAGCGTGCCCAGTCGATGATCTTGACCCTGATCGGATCATCGTCCGTGCAGTTTCCAGGGATGGACCGCGACAAGCTGACGCAGCGCACCGTATATTCCCGACCACAGGCGGCGCCGTTGTCCCATAGCTCGTCGCCCGCCGCCGCGAACATGCCGTTCGAAGGAAGCTGGGATGGATCATCTCCGTTGCACACCGTCGCTAAATCAAACAGCAAGAAGAACGTGACATAGGAAGCTATTCTTTTCTTCTTCTTCTTCTTTTTTTAATCCTTTTTTCTTTGGGTCAAAGACTTACGTAGATACGGAGAGCTGTAGTACGACGCTGTGCCGGCGTGAACGCCGGCGCCGGCGGCGGTGGCCGTGGCCACGGAGGCGAGAAGGATGAGCAGCTGCAGATGGCACATCCTTTTTAACGTCTTCCTTCTCATTTTTTTTTTTTTTTTGTGGGTGGTTGATGAGAAGCCTTCCTCTTGAAGTTTTCGAATAGAGAAGAACAGTTTCTTGCCCGATCTTTTATAGCAGAACTGGGCAGAACTGGGTGAGGAGGGGGCCGAGAAGAGAAGAGGACGTACCATGGGGAAGCAGGGAAGAGAAGCCCCAATATACCTCCACGTCCGGGGAGGTGGGGCGCGTCCGTAGAAGGAACGGTGGCCACTAGGATAAATTCATTTTAATTATTAGCTTAGGCGTCTGCAGAATTCATACTTAAAATCATTTTCTATGAGAACTGCTGTTGTTTTTTTTTTTTTTTTTTTTTTTTTTTGGTAAGGTGAGAACTGCTGTTGTTGATGCCGTCTCGAAGCAATAAAAAAATTCCGGTGCAATCTCCGTATCATCTGCGATCAGGTGAAAGATTGTGAATATGCACTTCGCTTTTAGATGCAGTGAAAGCAACCCAGCAAAAAAAAATAAAGAAAAAAAAAAAACATGTTCACCTTCAAGCATGATTTACTCGATCGAGGTTATGTTTGTGGAATAGTTCATCCAATGCCCCATTCGTCATGCCCTGATATGAACGCGCATGAGATTGGCACAAAAACCTATCAAAGCAATAGCAGAAGAAATCGATATCGGGTGCAATTTCTGTAGAGTATGCAATCAAAACTCCCCAGGCCTTTCGGTTTTGCACCGGCTTAGAATCCAAATGCTGCAATGAACTCGAGTTATTTTTCAGATACACAGGCAGGCAAGCACTAAAATCTCTGCAAAAGAACCTAGCTCAGGATTACAACTTTCATCTTAGACATGGTCCAATGACAAACAGCTCTCTCCCCTCAGTTTCATGATTTTCAGATGATAAAGAAACAATTGAGCAAAACGTGTTCCGTGAAAGACCTCAGTGGCTCACCTGCATGTAGGTTAACTGATCATAACTCGAGGCCTTCTTTCTAACTTGTGGATCAGACCCATCCTACGGAAACAATCTTTGTGGTCAAACACAAATATCTCGGAACAAAAACGTTAAAGAAGGAGAGGGGGGGCCGGGGGGAAAGCTAGCACTGCAATAAAGGATTGCCAGATTTGTTTTGCTAGAACAGGAACTGAGGGTATACTACCTGGGATACATAAAGTGGGTACTTTGAAGCAACAGCATTCTGATAACTGGAAAATGAAAAGAATCCAATAATAGGAGAACTGATCTGTACAAAGTGCCTTAAGCTCTCATAAACAAAAAAGACTCTACAGAACAGATTTGCCATATTTCAAGATAGACTTAATGGTCCTCTCAAGATAATCAGCGCGGTTGCATGCCACGATCACCACTGCTGCCACTTGGGTCTGATATATCCAACAAAAAGATATCAGCAAGACTGACAAAATTGAATTTGTAAATGAGTGAAGATAAGTAACATGTTATTGTCAAGAGAAGACTTGTATTTTGTCCGTACATCTTTGAAGGCCTTTGACTGCAAGATTAGCAAAACAGAAACTTTAGCAGCGCTTAAGACATTCCACCAGCAAAATAGATCAAGGCACATTCAAAAACAAATAAATTGCAGATTGGGGAGGATGAATCAGGATTCTTCCAACATCAAAGAGAGGTTAAGTAGTAGAACTTCACAGCACAAGAATGATAATTAATCTCCTTCAGTTTTAGTCGCTCAGTAAGATTTTGAATTTCCACAAGTAAAGCACTGCATCACAACAATTGCTATCAAACTCCAAATTGGCAGAATCCAGAAAATGCGGAATGCGATTTTCCTGACGCAGCCAGACAAATACTAAAAGATTTATATGCTGCAAGCTTGCATACAATCCATATAGTTCCGGTCCTCTACAGAAACAACATGAGGGAAACACATGCTTACAAGCAAATTATCACACCTTCTAGCTCCACAATACGGCTTTCTTGCATGCTTATCTGATCAATTAGTTTTCGCATTTGACTTGTACAACGAGTCTCGGCTTCAACCTGTAAAATGAAAGACGTATCTAAGAAATATATGATGATTTCTAGTGCATGTAGGTCAGGAGAGGGGGGACGCACACGTTAGATTTCTGGTGTCTGCCGCTCCCTCCCTCTCTCTCATAAATTATAGCATGCTACTCCTTCGAAAAGGACAGAAGCATAGGAAGCACGTATACATGACAAGACCATCCAAAGACCAAACCAACCAAAAAATGAAACAGGCCCACCATTGGAACTTTTTAACTCAATCGTTAAACACAATAAATGAGAATTGCTAGCATCATTTAAGTGTTAATCCTCTCAGAAGCTACTGCTCCCAAAGGACAGCAGCACAATAAGACCATCCCAACCAATTAATGTAATGGGTCCACCAGTACTACTTCTTGACTAACCATAGAAACACGATACATGAGAATTACTACCATCATTTAATGGGGTTTCCTATTCTCACTCGAACGGATTGACTCTTCCCAAATCGATATTTCAAGCAAGATTGTAAATTTACTAGAAGTTGGATGAAAGACAGATTCAGCACTAAGCATTGTCAAATAGATGCTCAATATGACAAATTCAGAATGGTTCCTCCCACACAGTAAGGAAAAGGTTCCACCACACACTCTCAATATTTCTTTTTCATATTCAATAGGCTGACAGAGTTGCAGATCTGAAGTTACCTAAGCTTATAATTACTTAACTTGAGAGTCTAGATGCTGGCTGCACATGAGAAGTTCACTAAGTACATTTCTTAAAAATTGAATGTGTATCCTTTTGGAAACAAAGCTAGAGGTTCAAATGGCCATCAATCCAGAATGAGAGACCGGCATGAGGTATTAGGATGGACTTACAGCAGCAGCAAGTCGATCGGCATATTCCGATTGTGTTGTGAAAAGACGCATCTGTAACTCAAATGCACGTCGATCGGTAACTCAAAAACCGCAAAAATTTCCAGATCGCGAGGGGAATCGGGGACCAAGAAATCACCTGGATGTAGATGAACGCCACCGCCGCGGCGAGGAGGAGGAACCGGAAGTCGTAGAGGAACTTGTTCACCATCGTCCCTCCGGAGCGGCGGGGGGGAGGGGATTCGCCGCAGCGAGCCGTGAAGATCACGCGGCGGCGAGGGCGTCGCGCGGGCACGGAACATTGAATAGAGAAGAACAGTTTCTTGCCCGATCTTTTATAGCAGAACCGGGTGAGGAGGGGGCCGAGAAGAGAAGAGGGCGTACCATGGGGAAGCAGGGAAGACAGCCCCAATATAGGGAAAATGACGTAAATAATCCCTGAACTTTGACTCAATGTGCAATTTGGTCCCTGAACTTTTAATTTGTTCAATATAGCCCCTGAACTTTAACACAATATTCAATGTGGTCCCCGAACTTTCAATTTGTTCAATGTGGTCCCTGAACTTTCGATACATGTTCAATATAGTCCCTGAACTTTATAAAAATGTTCAATATAGTCCTTGAACTTGAATCAATGAAAGGACTACATTGAATATTTTTATAAAGTTCATGGAATATATTGAACATGTACCGAAAGTTCATGGACCACATTGAACAAATTGAAAGTTCAGGAACCACATTAAACATTATGTTAAAGTTCAGGGACTACATTGAACAAATTAAAAGTTCAGGGACCAAATTGCACATTGAGTCAAAGTTCAGGGACTATTTGTGTCATTATCCCCTCAATATAGCTCCACGTCCGGGGAGGTGGGGCCCGTCCCTAGAAGGAACTGTGGCCACTAGGATAAATTCATTTTAATTATTAGCTTAGGCGTCCGCAGAACTCGTACTTAAATCATTTTCTATGAGAGCTGCTGTTGTTTTTTTTTGTTAAGGAGAGCTGCTGTTGTTGTTGCCGTCTCGAAGTAATAAAAAAATTCCAGTGCAATCTCCGTATCATCTGCGATCAGGTGAAAGATTGTGAATAGGCACTTCGCCTTTAGATGCAGTGAAAGCAACCCAGCAAAAATAAATAAAGAAAAAAAAAAAACACATGTTCACCTTCAAGCATGATTTACTCGATCGAGGTTATGTTTGTGGAATAGTTCATCCAATGCCCCATTCGTCATGCCCTGATATGAACGCGCATGAGATTGGCACAAAAACCTATCAAAGCAATAGCAGAAGAAATCGATATTGGATGCAATTTCTGTAGAGTATGCAATCAAAACTCCCCAGGCCTTTCGGTTTTGCACCGGCTTAGAATCCAAATGCTGCAATGAACTCGAGTTATTTTTCAGATACACAGGCAGGCAAGCACTAAAATCTCTGCAAAAGAACCTAGCTCAGGATTACAACTTTCATCTTAGACATGGTCCAATGACAAACAGCTCTCTCTCCTCAGTTTCATGATTTTCAGATGATAAAGAAACAATTGAGCAAAACGTGTACCGTGAAAGACCTCAGCGGCTCACCTGCATGTAGGTTAACTGATCATAACTCGAGGCCTTCTTTCTAACTTGTGGATCAGACCCATCCTACGGAAACAATCTTTGTGGTCAAACACAAATATCTCGGAACAAAAACGTTAAAGAAGGAGAGGGGGGGCTGGGGGGAAAGCTAGCACTGCAATAAAGGATTGCTAGATTTGTTTGGCTAGAACAGGAACTGAGGGTATACTACCTGGGATACATAAAGTGGGTACTTCGAAGCAACGGCATTCTGATAACTGGAAAATGAAAAGAATCCAATAATAAGAGAACTGATCTGTACAAAGTGCCTTAATTCTGCAGATGAAGTAAGGACAACCATTGGATACGTCTACTACTGCAAGAAGAATTGGTCACGAAAGCCAACATGACTGCTACATAGGTATGTACATTGCTCGATGCTGAAGCACCTCTTTAAAGCCAAAGAAAAACGATAAAGTTGAGGAAGAAGCTGAACTGAAAGATTTAACCGAAACTGGAGAAAAGAAAAGTTGAACACGAATCCTTTTTCCTGGCCAGGAACTGTTTTGGATATCTGTTTTTTATTATCATAAGATAAGGCATCTCCCAAACCATTGAACAATAGTTTATAC